TAACAGGAATATTGAAAAAATAACCGTGGTTAGTCCTTTGCGAGTGCACGAAAATTACAGAATTTCAAGTTTCTAGCTTAACTGACATTTTAGAAAAAAAATAGAAACTCAATTTTAGTCACCACCTCTTAAGGGTGATATCTCGGAAAGGGGTGGGCTGAGGAAATTTTGTTATAGGAAACACCCATCTTAATTTCATACGAGCAATCACCTCCTGAAATTTGTCCCATGAATTTTGAAACACCCTGTATGTTGGTATATTAAGGTGAATGCAGCAGCCTTTATAATTTTCGGACAAGGATATTTCAAAAATTAATTTTGTTAAAAAAATTAAATTTTGGCAAAATAAATTAGGTAATATTAACTAGGTCGTATGCATATATTTTAAAGTTTAATTCCTTTCAGTTTCCGAGAAAAAAAATCAAATATGATAATGAAAAGAAATGCATTCCACAACAGCACTATTCTTAATATAATCCCGAAATTTAAACTCTTAATGTCTTTTTGACATATGCTTGTTCGAAAATTATAAAGGGTGTGATCACCTTAAGATTAAAAGAGAATTAGCTTTAATTCATGAAATGCAAAGCATCATAATTGTCGCGTCACAAAAACCACCTGCTGCCAAGAGAAAATTTTGATTCAACAGTATTGTATATTTTGTGTTGTAAAAGAGAAAAAATTTACATTTCGTGTTTTATAGTTATTTTTTTAATTTAATAATCTATGTAAAAAAAAATTTTTTTTATACAGACATTAAAAAAATTGTTATATTAATATACTTATTTAATTATATTTATATTTGTTGTTCCTTTAATACAATAAATACAATTTTCCCATCTCTAATTCATCACTTACCGTATCCATATACCTGGTCCGATTACAATTAGAAGAACACCGCTACGTCATAACTATTATTTCGAATTTCCAATAGACGGTCATATTTTAAAAGCGTAATCTACATCCTACAAGTATTAGAAATTAAAAATTTAAAAAAATCGAATTCAATAACATGCAGATGCCGTCACCACATCTTAACCAAATTTATATGGTACCACCCCTGAGGTACCCCCTTACTAACAAAAAAGAATCATAAATCGGACAAGGTGGTAAAGTATTATCGCTAAACATACATAAAAAATGAAGAGTTTGAGGATTTTGTCATGGGCTCAATCATTAGATTTTGACCAAATTTATATGGAACCACCTCTAAAGTACCTCCTTTCTAACAAAAAAAGAATCATTGAAATCGGACACCGTGTTAAAGAATTATCGCTGAACATACATAAAAAAAATTTTAAAAAAATATTGCGACGAATTGAGAACCTCCTCCTTTTTTGAAGTCGGTTCAAAATAGGAGTAAAAGTTTATATAAACATAGGTCTGAAAGCGTTTCGTTTTCAAGATACAGGGTGTTACAAGTTAAGTCCAGATGGCCCATTTTTGTAAATATTTTCTAAAATTTCTTTAGTTACTGGTTTTCGAAAGTTAAAAAAAAAATAAATTTTCTGATTCTACAGACCTACTAATTATTGTTTACACTTTCGAATAAGGTAACATTTTTTTTTTAAATGGCGCGCCCTAGCGAGATGCAACAAATGTAGCTTTATTATATAGAATATATTAGTTTTCCAAATTTTATAGTCAAAAATGTTAAAAACTATCAACAAAAAAAACTTAGGGCAATTTTACCCTAAGCTCCCCCTAATTTACCCACCTAAGAAGATGATCAAAAACTGGTGTTTAGTCCAATAAATGGAGCGTAAAAAGGTAAGTATTTGTACCAAATTTTATCTAATTATCTTTAAACGTTTAGAAAATATTTACAAAAGTGTGGTATCAGGACTTCACCTTTAATACACTGTATCTCGGAAAAGAAACGTTTTCAGACCTATGTTTATATGAACTTTTACTACTACTTTAGGATGTAGATTACGCTGTTAAAATATGACCGTCTAATTTTGGGACACCCTGTATATCATATATAACTATCAATAAATAAAAAATATTTGAGTTGTGTGGTTTAAAAATAGTATTCCTACATTCCTATAATATTAACAAGCCATTAAACCCCCAGTAGGCGGCGATAGCCTACGAATTACTTCGTCAATTGATGACATACCTGTGGTATGTTCATGTAATTGTAATCGGACCCTACCGAATCTCATGATTATTCTTCAGCGCACGACACACAACATTGCCAAATTTATGTAGCGAACACGGTTCCATATATTTTAAGGGGAGGTCGTTAGATCCGTGTGACGTCAGAAGGGACTGGATTGCTCTTAAGTGAGTTTAGTTTTACTTCAACCATAAATGTTTCTACTAGAATATAAGATTTATCGAAAACTTGAATAGATCACATGTTTGTAAATACAAACAATGGACAAGTCGAAGATTGTTGTTCTAGATATGTTCTAGATATCCTTGTTACTGATCGTAGAGCTACAATTTTAAACATAAATATATTTAATAATAAGGAACCGGTGAATAAAATTAAATTTATCAATAAATCCAATAAAAATAATCTCAAAGCTGATTTAACTTCTTATAATTGGAATGCTTTATACGGTATGATAGATGTACAAGAAGCAACAATTTACTTTGTTAATACTCTTAACACCCTTATTTCTAAAAATACAACTGTACTTAAACAAAAAAGGTAATTAATTAAAAAGAAAGCGTGGATTACGGTAGGTCTCATGAAATCAATAATCACAAGGGATAAATTGTATAAACCATATCAAAAAGATATAGAAAACAAAGTGTTAAAAGACCAATTTATTAAGTACAGAAATTCTTTAAAGCGCCTTATTTAAGTTAATAAACTTAATTATCAGAAAGCACAGATAGAATCGAATAAAAATAACTTTCAAAAATTATGAAAAACAAAAATATAACAAATTCTTATAGTAATACAACTGATATAAAAGAAGTAATAACAAAAAATGGTAATGTTGTTGAGAATAAATTACAAATAGCAGAAGCATTCAAGTAGGACCTGATCTTGCTAGACTTATTACAAAACCACCAACACATCCTCCACCTCGGAAAGTAAATAATAACACCATATTCCTAAAACCCACAAATAAAGAAGAATATATAAAAAATCTAAAAAATAATAAAAGTCCTGGTATAGACAATATAACTGCCGAAACATTATAAGAAATTCGTACAGAACTTTCTTCGCACCTCAGCTTTATTATTAATCTAATTATAGAAAATGGAATTTATCCGATAGAATTCAAGTCTGCAGTTATAAAACCTCTTCATAAAAAGGGAAATAAATCAACTCTTACTAACTACAGAACATGCAATATTAGACTTAACAACAAAATTATATAAGGCTGTTGACTGCAGCTGTCCGGCTATAGGGGTATTCCTCGATCTTGGAAAGGCGTTCGATACTGTGGACCACTCACAGCTGTTGGATTCTTTGCAGGATGTGGGAATACGAGGAGTTGCACAAAAACTTTTTGAATTTTATCTAATAGGAAAAAAACAATGTGTTAAAATAGATAATAATAATATATAATAATATTTTCCCTAATTCACCCCCTTACGAGGGAATTTCAACCCATGAAGTCGACTGAACGACTTGTGTAGGGGAAGGGACGGCTATTATTATTATTTGCCGTGGCGCTCCGGGGCGACTTAAAGATGATTGATGGTGCCATTTGACTTACAGGTGAGGAAAACCCGGAAAACCTCACCCACCATCATCGAGACGGTAATTTATGGCGAATGTTTTTAATCTGCATGTCATATCAACAGATAATAGTATAAGCTCGGAAAGGATTGTTCAATGTGGCGTTCCTCAAGGGAAAATTCCTGATCCCATTCTCTTTACAATATACATTAATAATCTACTTACACTTACAACTTCTGGAGAGATAACAAGCTTTGTTGATGATAATGTCTTCTTTAATACTGCAATCAACTGGAATGATCTGAAAAAAAAATTGAAAAAGATATAAGTAATATCATAGATTGATTTAATTACAAATTGCTTACAATAAACTTCGATAAAACCATGTTTCTACCTATAACAATCTATAAAAATAATCTTCCTAATTACAACAAGTTAGAAATCAACAATCACGGTAACTTAATAAATATTAAACAAACATAAAGTAAAGTATTTAGGAATACCTATCAACAACCATCTCCGTAGGGACTATCATATTACTAGTGCTACAAAAACTTTTAGGTCATTACTGGGTAAATACAAATTTTTAACAAAACTTTTGACTTACCTCTTCATAAAACACTATATTATGCATTGGTTGATTCTCGCCTCTCCTATAAAATTGTAGGATGGGGAGAAGTAACTTATATACTCATCTAAAAAAGCTAGAAGCAGTCTAAAAATTATTTTTAAAAATAATACTTCAGAAAAATAGAACTTACTCTTCGAATGCTCTTTATAAAGAGGCAGAGATCCTAGACATTTTTATGTTTATTAACTGAAGAAAAATATTCGTTGGATTTAAAATACATATGTCATTGTCATAAAACTAGGAAGTAAGGATTTCGGAAAATGAATAATACCAATTGCCAAAAAAAACAATAGGGCATAAAAGTCTTATGTTTTTGGGACCTAGATTTTTAAATTTTTTACCAAAGGAAATAGGTTTCTCAACTTATTCGGTATTTTATTTTAAGAAAAAATTAAATCCTTTTTAATAAATATACCAAGGAAAGATATTTATAAATTTTTGGATTTGTGAAAACAAATTAAACAAATTAAAATATAAAAATAAAATAAACAAATAAACTCAGCCCACAGAAAGCTTTGGCTTTGTGGGAATTGTTTCTTTGTTTGTGTTAATTTTGTATTTTTGGAAAAACTAACATGTTAAATTTAAGTTTATTTGTAATACTTGATGCAAATAAAGATTATTATTATTATTATAGCATTGAAAACACAAGTTTCATTAAAATATTTTTAATAACTAATAAAATGTATCATGTCGAACAAACAACAACTAAAAAACATATTATTCGGGAATCTTATTCCAATCCTGCTCATCCACAGTTCCAAAAAGCATAAATATAACACCACCAAAAAGATATATCGTGCCACCTATGTAGAAAGCCAACCCCCATTCATTGATTCCGCTGTGTTGTCTAATGCACACTCCAGTGACCATAGGCACCATGCAACCAGATACGCCTCCGAAGAAACTAATGAAACCGAAAACAGTACCAGCGAAATTCGGTGACAAATCCTGAGAATTTAAGAGAGTTGTCACTACTGCAGCACCGTTCAATCCCAATCCTATCAAAACTAAGACGATAGCAGCAACATTGCATTTGAAAAAAGATATACCTATGGTAAGTATCCCAGGAATGAAATGAGAAAAGAAACAAAAATGCTTTCTTATTTCCATCGGCGAAAGGATTCCCTTTTTCGCCAAGCTATCAGCGATGATTCCCATTGTTAGGGCCACGAACACTCTGCTTAGCTGCGGCAACATCGCTACGGCGCCGGTTTTTTTTAGATCGAATCCGATCACTTGTGACATGTACTTGGGCAAAGTACTCATTTGCACGTACAGTCCCCACATGGAACCCGTGTGGCCCATCACCAGAACCCAAAAAGGTGTGTTTGATATTATACGTAGGTACGGCGCTGTGCGTCTTTTAGTTCCTACCTTTCCTGCTTGACACGATTTGATATACTCTACTTCCGCTTCGGAGATAAACGGATGCTTTACAGGAGAATCGGCGCAAACCAACCAGAATATCATGCAAAAAACTACCAACTGCATGCTTACCACGTAGAATCCCCAATCCCAACCAAAATGGACCGTGACGCTCGTCAAAACCGGCCAGTTAATGACCGACGACAAGCCGTTCCCCAACAAGGCTGAAGTAAACTTGCCTTTTTCTAGCGGCGGCGACCATTTCGCTATGAGTACTTGAAAGGATGGATAGATGAAGGTTCCTAGGAGTCCAATGAAAGCCCTTAGTGCTATCAAAGCCGAATAGTGTAACGCCGCAGCTGGTACGCACAAAGCATTGAGGATAGCGGTTATCAACGTAAACCAAAAAATAACAGCTGTAGGGCCGAGCCATTCTGCTACAATCCCACTGGGTAGACAACCCACTGTATATCCCCAGTAAAAACTACCAATTATGTTACCCTGCACTTCTTCGCTCCAGTGGTATCTGGGTCCGTAATCCGCTAATAACTTAGAATCGTTAGCCCGTACGGAAGCGTCCACAATACATTCGGGTATTAATTCTTTCTTTGCGCTCTTAACCATTGCGACAATGCTGATTGAAATGTTGATTCTTGTTGAGTAATTTATGAAGGCTCCGACAAAGATCATTACTCCTATCCAAAATCTGACTGGTGGTTTTCTGAATGTACCCATCTTCTTAGTACAAAAAAAATATATTTATTAGATCTTACAATGAAGTTAAACTGTTGAAAATAATTTTATGGTAATATTTTTTGTTTATGAAGATTATTTCTGGTGGTACTTTATAAGTTTTCGTAATGTCAATTATGATTGAAAGTAGTAAAAACCAGAGATAAGGGAGATAGATAGGAAACGCCCATAAGAAGCCAATGCTTAACAACGACCAGCTTTATCGCAGTTAACATCTGACCCACTATGTGGCGCTTTCATCGATATCTAACAACGCAGCGGGAAATTTAAAAACCTGATAATGAAGGTTGTATAAATATCGACTGCACTCTCATGTTCTTGTAAATAAACTTAAACAATGTAATTGCCCTAAATTATTTATTAAAAAGAATACTACACTTACAGTCTATTATCGATTAGTTATAGTAAATCTATATTCATGACAAATATTTTTTAATTTTTGATTTTATTTTCCAAACGAATGGCCTTATTTAAAAATGTTGAGTGCAAATTCAATAATGGGAATTCAGATATTTTTCTTCCTATATGAAATCTTCTTTCTAACGTTTTGAAGCCATTTTCTTGTTCTAAAATAATAAATAATACATAAATACCTACTTTGTGATAAAAGTTGATTACTATTTGTGTTATTTACATGAATAGATCTTACCTACTTTAGTTAATTAAAGAACGCCACATTGGGGTTGTTAAATTTGTTCATGTGTGGCATGTGTTACTAATGCAATACGTTCTCCGACTTATTATAATATTACAAAATATAATTATTGTCCTCAAATTTCACACAAAAACAGCCACAACTATTTCGCTTAGTTCATCTAGAGGATAATACAATCATGAACTCAAAATTTAAATTCAGGATTCTTCGATATACATAACACTGACATTTATATTTACAAACTGTCAATTGCTGTCCACGTTTACTGCCTGTCTCAGTGTTGCCAACTGTACGATTTAAATCTTATTTATACGATTTTTTAACTCTGTACGATGTACGATTGCATCAGTGAGATCGTACGTAAAAATACGACCTTCACTTTTTTAGTAGGTTTATTTAAATATCTGCAACAACTTCAGAACATAAAAATCAAAAACTACTTGCAAAGATTCATAGGCCATTCGTAATTACTGAAGGCGGTCATTTTCGTTCTGACTTATCCTGATTTTGACCATGTTGATTTTGTACACCGACTATCACGACATAAGAAAAGTTTGCATGCAAAATTTCAATCACGTTCAAGTGACAATCATTGATTACTTTAAATGTGTTAATTTGAAGTTTCATGTATTTCCCTTAATTTTTTTTTTCGTTGTATATATTTTTATAAATAGATACATAAATTATCATGTCAAAGTTTTTTTTTTATTTTTTCATTTCATTTAAGTTATATTATGCTATGCATGTATCTATTGTACAATTTTTTGTCGAAATATCATTTTTCTACTCTACTTGTACGATCTCTCAAAAAAAGTATTTGGCAACACTGGTCTCTCTACAAACGACGTAAATCTGTAGTTAACATCTGAGACGCTAGATGACGCCATCGTTTCTGCGGTTGTTGCGTTTCCAATCTTTATGTCCCTAATCTCTGGTAAAAACTATAAAGACTAGAGATAAGGAGGCGAATCGGCATACTCGAAATACGGTACCAAAAAACGCTAATTGAGCTTTTTTAATTCACCGCAAGGGCGCTGGTGCTAGTACCGCAGCTCAAAATACATGGCTTCTTATGAGAATTTTATATATTATGTCAAAATAAATAAACTTGTTTTTTGTCAAATAAAGCACAGAATATACGGTTGTATTTATTTCTAAATAAGTCTGGCACGTTTTAATTGATAAATTATTTTATTTTATCTATATAAAATGCAATTTAGGTAGGTATGATCCAATTCGAAAAGATTTGTTGAATGGTGAAATATAGTAGTTAAGAGCAAAATAAAACACAGTTAACAGATTTTATATCGTTATAATACAAGCATAAAGGGAGATTTGCGAATGTATATATTGCCGCATCCTTTAATTTTGGCTTTACCCTTCTTATTTTGCTAACAGTACCTTCAGTAAAAAGAGTCTCATAATATTTGGAAATATTTTCCAAAAAGTGCAGAACAGCATCATCTCTAGAAAGTGCTTTATTGATCCTAGGAACGATATAATATATTTTGCCACTGTTATATTGACCAAATTGGGGCGTAACAAAAAAATAACAGTATAGCAACTCTTTATCTAACATTAAAACTCTATAAAAAAAAACGAATTTTCTTTTGTAGTAAGTTAAATTTAATGTATAATTATTGTTGTTTGTAAGTCAGGATCTATGACTGTAAAATTTTATTTTATGGAAACTTGTAATAAAATAAACTACACTCCGTGATACGTGTTGTGACTAGTTTTCAATATTTAGATATAAATACTCTTTATAGGTCACCAGATGGAGATGCAGATATATTTTTTGAACGTTTTTTTGAAATCCTAAATTGTGTTACTATAAAACATAAACAGAAAATTATCTGGGGTGATATAAATATTGATGGGTTTGTAAACTCAAACAAACTTAAACTATTATCTGACGCACTGGAAGGTTTTCAGTTGAAATCTCATATATCAGTGGCAACTCGTATAGCAAAATATGGCAACTTTATCACAAAAACATCAATTGACTATATAATTACTAATCACTTAATATAACCATATTTGATCCAGCTATTTCTGATCATTCTGCACAAATGCTCAAATAGGATCAACATATTGGAATAGAAAAGCAAGGTGAGAAAATAATACGTAGATCATTTGGTGAAGTACAGATATCAGAATTTAAATTTTTATTTGTAGAAACATATTTGAAATAAGAAGAAAAAGAAGATTTTCTAACTTAACCAAAAACTTCACTTGTCACTTGTCTATATATTGTCATACTAAAACCACATGTATAAAGTCTCCGAGCAATTACTACTAGAGGGAGTCTTCCCCCCTTCCCCGCCCTAAATTTTGTAAGCAACATCTACTCCCCCGGGGGGGAAAATACCTCTTCTGTAATTGGCTTATTTAATCAGCGTTGCCAAGTTTGACAGCGCCAGTTCTGACACTTTCTGACACATGTCAATTTCTCATTTGTATTTTACGGAAAATATTATTTATAACGTTGTAAGGGTTGTAAATGTATATTTAAGATTTATTATCTCTAATAATATGGTGAAAACATGCTTTATGTGTAAAAGGCCTGTTGAAAATGCTTCTTCAAGATAATATCATAAATCAGCTGTGATGGTTTATACCGGTCACAGGCTGATAACAGGAGAAGTCATTAAGTTTAATTCAATATCTCTTCCAATAGTAAGTTCCTTCAAATACTTAGGAATTGTCTTAGACAATAAGCTTACATGGAAAAAACATATTGATTATACTTTATCCAAATGTGAAAGAGGCATTAACATTCTTAAATGTGTCACACAATTTAAATGGGGTGCAGACACAACAACGTCGTTAATGTTTTATAGATCTTACATCCGATCAATCATCGACTATGGGTGCACATTATATGGATCAGCTGCGAACTCGAGCCTTAAGTTATTAGATTGTATGCAAGTTAAAGCAGTCAAAATATGTCTCGGTGCTTTTAAATCTTCCCCTACTCCAGCGGTTCTTGCGGAAGTACAAGAGCCTCCTCTTCACTTACGAAGACATTTTCTAGCATGCAAAAAGTTAGTTACATTTAAAATGATTTCGGAAAAATTTCTGAATTCTTCCTTTATCCTGAATATTGAAAACTTAACCAACAAATATTGGAAATTTAAAAATAGTCCACCTTTGGCTGAAGCCTGTGTATCTTTAAACCAGTTTTTAAATAAAATTGAGTCTTACGATATTCTTCCTATATACCAGTTTAATTTTTTCTCCTTATTGTTCAAGCCAACAATCTTATTCCCTGAGTTTACTTCTTCCCCTAAAATTAATAACATAATCATAAAATCGGTATTGGGAACGCTAGATACAGTTAATACTATTTTTTGCGATGGGTCTAAAGGAAAACAAGGCACAGGATGCGCTTTTTATGTGGAAAATGAAAACTTTATTTCCCAATTTCATTTACCAAATTATTCATCTGTTTATACAGCGGAGGCTTTTGCAATTTTACAAGCACTCAATTGGATAAAAAGCTATGGAGAAAGCAAATCGGTTATTCTTTCAGACTCGAAATCTGTTTTACTTTCAATTTCTAACTATTCCTGTAATATTAACAAAAATCCTATTATAAGAGAAATTATTTAGTCTCTCCTTACTCTTCATAATTCTAAAATCAAGATCGTTTTTATCTGGGTTAAAAGTCATAAAGGGATAGTTGGAAATGAAAAAGTCGATTTAGCTGCTAAAGAATCCATTCTTCTTCCAACTATTAGTAATATTCATTCTCCGCAGGATATTATTCATGCAATGAAACGAAATATTAGGTCAAGCTGGGAGAAACTTTGGGAACACTTTGTTTCTCATTCAAATAACCCATATACATTTATTCACCCTGTTCTTCCAAAATCTATTCCCCACATTACAAATTTTAAAATGTCTAGGTATTATTGTACCACTTTAACAAGGATGAAACTAAATCATGGGGGTTTTCCGTCTCACCTTTCCAGAATTGGTATTAATATATCACCTTTCTATCAATGCGATAATTCTTCTTTTGCTAATATCAACCATCTCATTTTTTCTTGTAGCCACCATAATTCTCATCGTTCAGATTTTCTTAAAAAACTTTCTTCCCTGAATATCCTTTTTACATCAAGTATTTCTATTTTATTAAGTTCATTTAATGAGAAAATATATAACTTAATTATTGAATTTTTAATTAAAGAAAATATTAAAATATAAATAAATAAACAAACAACAAAAAATTATTCGGTTTACAAAAGTCTGTGGCAACAAAAACTACATTTAGATGCCAATTCTCAAAATAAATAAATCATCAAATAAATAAGTACAGACACAACCTAATTATCAGAGGCGGTGCATTAGGCAATCACCTTTAATTTGCAATTAAACTTTCTTATTTTCTTATCGAAAAATTAAAATTAAGAGCAAGTAAACTCCAGCTAAGTTCGTCTTCGTCCATCTCATAATGATTATAGTAAAGGTTAATTAATTATTATTCTTTTAATATCACATCTTTGTAAAGTTTATTGTTATTTTTTTTAGGTTTCCTTTTCTTGATATGAGAAAGAAATACATGGTTCCAAAATATAGGAATTCAACAAGTGACCACCTGAATAACTTTTTATGCTAATGAACATTTTTATTACAGACCTCAGGGGACCAAAATATTAAAGAAAAATGCAATTTCGACGAAAGAAGTCTAACAGCAAGTAAGTAGAGAAACTTAAGTTTCTTTCAAAAAGAATGTTTAAGGAAAAAGGCATAGCCATTTTTTTGTTGACACTTTTTTTAAATAATCTAAAAGACTAATTTTGTGTATTGTTTAAATTTTCATTTTGTGTACTTAATTTGTTTTAGGTTTAAACAAAATGAACTTCTAAGATATGCATGGAATATCCCAAAAGAGCTAAGGAAGGTTTAAAAATTCTTAAAAAACTATTCAGAACCAAAAACGTAAAATAGTCTTCCTGTCCAAAATATAAATAGGTATAAATATTTAGATGTTATGAGTGATTTTTTATTCTATAAATAGAACATAATTTGCTTCTAAATCACTACCTAATGAACTATATTATATAGTACAAAACTAAACAAGAATATCACATTATTCATGTTTTTTTTTTTAATTTCCTTAAAAAATGTCCCAAAAAATGTGAATATTTATTATTGGAATTTACATCGTTATGCAAAAACAATACTAGAACAACTTAATGTGGATTTTGAGTTATGCAGATCATTATGATCTAAAAAAATGTTTGTCTGGTGCTATAGTCAGGTATAAAAACATTCATTTATTTAAACACAGTTGCAATATACATTTTATTTAGTTTTTAAGTTAAAACCTATTAGGACATCCTAAAATGACTTTTTTTGTTTGATGTGAGATTAATTATTCTACATTTTTGTTGGCGAAATAGGATATATTAAGATGTCTTACTGTTTTCTCTGATTATCTAAAAAGTTAGAACAATATACAAAGACTGTTATAACAAAAAAGAGATATACCTTTACTTAAACACACAATTAGTCAGTTCAATTGTACGATAATTTAAAGCAGAAATCCAGAAAACTTTAAAAATCAACGTTTTGTTTAGGTGTTGAACCTCCTTTGTCCTTATTAACATCGATATTATCTAAAAATTCTGAAAGTTCATTAACAGGTATATCTAGTATTGATGAATTTGATACATCATCATTAACTATATCAACCGTTTTAGGTGCATTAATTTGCTCTATATTATATACTAAGTCTTTAGACAAATCCATAAGATGTTCTTTATCTTTAACTAGTTTATCAGGAGGAAAAATAAATTCTAACCTTCTATGTACATGAGCTAAACGAGAGTTAATTCTTAGATATTCATTACGTTTATTGTTTAAATCAAATTGTTCAATATCTCCTAATAACTCTTCAAGTTTTGTACTACAAATAGCACCCCCCAGCCTGTTATGCACTTCGAGCATATATTAAAATTATAAAGACTAGAGATAAGGAGACGAATCGGCATACTCAAAATACGGTCCCAAAAAACACATGCTAATTGGGCTTCTATAATTAACCGCATGGGCGCTGGTACTGCATACTGTGTTCAAAATACATGGCTTCTTATGGGATTTACATATAATTTTGTGAAAATAATGAAAATAAACTTGTTTGTAGCTAAATAAAGCACAGAACATACTGTCCCACATAACATCAATGTTCTATGAATATACTAAGAACGTTCTGTTTATGTTCTTTTTAGTATGTCCTTTTTAGTATGTTCTTCGAACATACCTAGTATATACTTTGAAAGTATATTCTAGAAAGTATATGCTGAGCACGTGCCTTAAAAGTATATTCCAAAAAGTATATACTGAGAACGTGCTATAACAGGACATTCTAAGAAGATACTAAAAGTCATATACCCAGCATGTACCTCATATTCTGAGAATGTTCTAAATTCTTGCAGGTAAAAATTAACATCAAATACATGTAAAAAAAAACGTTTATATACATATCTATATGAATTTTTCCCAGATACCGATCTATTAATTGGTTAGCAAACGCACTAATGTTTAGGCCAAAAACAACCTTAATAAAAGATAAGAAGAAGAAGAATAACATAACCTCTACAATTCCTACAAATTTCTTTGATCTCGTTTCAGTAAATAAATTAGTAAAAATTAATTGCATCGTGTGTTCTATATAAAAATAAACAAATTTTACTATATTTTTAGTTTTTAGGACCTATAAGTGATGTTAGAACACAGGATATCCCAAATATTAATTGCCAGTGTAAATTTATTAATATGGTTAATGCTAATGGTGGATTAAAACTAAAATTTAGTGTTACCAGAATTACATACACACTTTCTATGAAAAAAATCCTGTAAGGCCAGAAATTGACCAGGAAGAACTAGAAAATAAGCTAAAGGAAGAGGAAAACTACAAAATGGTGGTAAGTAATTAACAAAAATATATTTAAACTTTTACTAAACATAATAATCTTTTATGTAACTCTTGTTTTTGTTAGTGAAATGCCATGTACAATTTTTAATGTTCCACGTTCGACAAAAATATTTAAAATATTCCATTAGCTATGTACAGTTAATTTGTATATGTACCAAGTTTATTGATTTTTTTTATTTTTTAGGTTCAATGAAGATCCAATGGAATCAAGCAAATGAAACTCAAGCCATTGATACAATGAAATATTGGTTATTTAAGGCCAAAGGAAGAATTTGTATTAAAAATAAGAATAAGTATGATTTTTTTGAAATAAAGATTTCATTATATATACTTATTCTTTATTGTTCAATATTAATGAAACATCCTGTATTAGGGTGTCTAGTATATACCTAGCATATGCTATATTTAAATACTAAGCATATACTTAGAACGTACTATTAAATTAAAGTAGATACCTATTGCATACTGTACACACACTCGAGTACATTCTCAGCATCTGCATAGCACGTATAAACAACGTCACGTAGCATATTCTTGGTATATTCTGAGAATGTTCCAAATGCAAATAAAGTATATTCTCAGCATATGCACATTCTTAAAAAGCATATACTGAGAATATGCTAAGAATGTATAATTGTTATCTGGGGTTGTATTGATTTCTAAATAAGTCTTGCATGTTTTAATTGATAAATTATTTAATTTTATCTATATAAAATACAAATTAGGTATGTATGACCAAATTCGAAAAGGTTTTTCAATTGCTGAAATTTTGTGGCAATTTTTTTTTTTTTTTTAATTGAACCAATATATAGTTTTAAGAGTAAAATAAAACACAGTTAACAGTTTTTTATTGTTGTAATACAAATATAAAGGGAGATTTGGGAATGTACATGGTATTACCTCATTCTTTAATTTCAGCTTTCCCCTTTTTATTTTGCTAACAGTACCATCAGTAAAAATAGTCTCATAATATTTGACAATATCTTCTAAAAAGTATAAAACAGCATCATCTCTAGAAAGTGCTTTATCGGCATTAGGAACGATATATATGCTGCCACTGTTGTAAACGTTTAGTATCCTATAAAAAACATTTACAATGACGCAACTGGGGTCAAAAAAAAAAATAACAGTAGCAACTCTTAATCTAGCATTTAAACTCTATAAAAAATAAATTTTCTTTTCTAGTAAGTTAAATTTAATGCATAATTATTGTTGTTTGTAAGTCAGCATCTATAACTGTAAAATTTTATATTATAGAAATATAATAAAATAAACTACACTTCGTAAGATACATATTGTGACTAGTTTACAACAAATATTGTATTTAGACATGAATACATTATTTTACTTATATTAAAAGCATTAAAAAGAAATTGAATTGATTTCTTCTAGTGTTTTCTTTAGCTTTACATTTGATTTTTATCCTGTTTTACAATCTGAAACGACGTAAATCTTGCTTTAATGTTTTTTTTCACTCATGTTACTTGTACTTTTTCACATTATTTTGATTCTTTTCATCATTTTTTTAAAAAATCACTTTATTTTACATTGACTTACTTAGAAAATTAACTGCACTGTCATTAGACATGCCAATTACAGTCAATTTCGCGAACTGTATAAAAAGCAGGACGGAAATTTGAAATTTGACCATTACCGATTCGCCTCCTTATCCCTAGTCTTCATAATTAAAATAAATATGCTCGAAGGTTGTGGGTAATCTGTGCCGGGGCTACGATGATGCTAGCTTTGTACTGCTGTCACACTTCAAAATAAATTGCAACAAGAAAAACATTAAACTGATAAAAATTGGCATTAAAAATATAAATATACTTCATTAATGTAATTATGAATTATAACCATAAAAAATCCTTGTAACAAGACTCTTCCACATGCTCTCATAGTAATTTGACAACTACTGTAGATGAATGTTTGCAATTCGATTTTTGTAAACAAAATTAATCTAGTAGTTGTTTATCAATGAAATCACCCCCTGACTAAAATATTTGAGGATTCAATCGTCTCAAAGAGCTTTTCACAATTAGAAGTGTTAGTTCTATGGGGTACATAAATATTTTCAATTATATCTCTAGATTTCATCTCATCCAAATAATAAAAATCGCTTAAAATAAATCAAAAATTTAATACTTTAATCTGGAATGTATTTTATAACAAGCGTTTCATTTATCTTATTCAACGTTTTTCTTATTTTCAAGTTCTGTAACGTTATCGTATTCACTAAGCGTTTCACTGGGTTTCACGAGCTCCATTTCCGGCGCATCCTGTAGATTTGGACTACTGGCGGCCGCGAACAAAGGCGTGGACTCTTTGTTATTGTCCATCTGCATGATTTTTATATCGGCCGAAGGTTTCACCACAAGCATTGATCCCGTATCGGAATCCTCTAATATGCAATCGCAGTCTAGTTCGCTGCATTTGGGACATTTTTCAGTCAGGTCCGACTTTATGGAATGTTTGAATTTCTGTAAAATAAATTGAGGTTAAAAACATTGACAACTTAATGATGCTGTTACTCCATACTTACCTCCATAAATGTTGTTCCGGGAGCTTTTAGTAACACAAATACCATTGTGATTGGTATACAAAGAATTGATACAGCAGCTATAAGCCATCCCAACACCACAGCCCACACAGGATAATGATAATGTTTATTGTTATAAGTAGGTGGTTCGTAGTCTATTATCAGGAATACCCACAAAGCGAATATCATAAGAGGCGTTGCCGTCATCCAGCAGAACTTGATGAAATATCCAGGATGTCTACCGGTCATCGTTTTGACATTTTTGCTTAACCTCCAGGCCCCGTAGAACCAGGTGACGCCTATGACTTCGAAAAAGGCAAGGTACATTATGGATATGGACGCTGCATAGTGGTCGATGAGTTGGAAAAAGTAGATTCCTCCCTGTAAAGAAACATCATTGAAGAACATATATTTACATACTCTGCATATTAATAATAAGGAAGATATATTTCTGAAATAAATCTGTTTAATTCCCTTTCTTTTAAAGACACTATAAATAGTTCTAGATATGAATATTAGTGAAGGAAGCCTACGGGCAAAACCGTTAAATTCCTACCAATGCCTACCAAGCAGGCAAATCTAGTAGGTAAAATAGGTCATTCCCTAAAGTATGGTAGGTTTCGGCTTCCTAAATAAGGAATGCGCGTTTAGCAACGCCCTTCATCAGTTTTTGTTCTCTTCTAATAAAAGAAAGGAATTGAGAAACCGACTTTGCAACTTGATCCAAAGTATAATTGGAAATCAAAACAAAATTTTACCACTGCAAGGAAATAAATTTACTTTCAGGACTACCAGAGGGTGTCTATATTTTTACTTTCATCTCTATTGTGGATAATTCTGGTGGTTAACCTGCTACACGATCTCTCTTAGCAAGGGGTAGACTTCTATTGTTATGCCGACGATATTCTTATCACAATTAGATGTAAGTACATCGAGGTAAACTCCAATATAAACTAACAAACCCTAAAATACAATCAACAGAGAAGAAGCAGATATCTGTAAGCTTCTAGAAACATGTTATCATCCAATTTACCAGAAGATGAAAATTAGACAAGCTTAGACAACCTACCTTGTCTAAGGAAACCATTCTGGAACTCCCAACTAAACAAAACCATTAACAAAACCTCAAGACCATCAGAAGAATATGCGCCAACGCATTACAGTAGTTACCAATTTTGGTACCACTGGATTGTCTGGTAAGATAACTGTCATCTATAGTAAAGTTGTCTGGAATCACTATCACCGAGACAATGCTCATCATACCGACGGAAGCCATGAAAACTATGCTTTATCTAATTTCTCTTAACATTTTGCTGAAAAGAAAGCTCAGAATGGTTTTCTACAGATTCCTAGCGGTAGGTAGACCATACAAGATGTCTTATTCTAGGTGCTGGTTGTAGATATTTGAAAAAATACACAGAACTATTCGTTTTAACTATTATTTCAACTGCTTTAACAAATTGCAGTTCTCACCTTTTTTTAAGTATACATTAACTTAACCTCACTCCGGTTGTCTAGCCGTGGCAATAGTTGTGACTACGGCTAGATATATTACATCCCTCCCCTTACAGGTTTAATTTGTCAGGTCTCTTGCGGGTAGTTACAATGAGTTGCTAAGAAGGAGTACAGGGTTCAGGTGAGCTAGTTAGGTTTACATTATTTTGAGGATAATTTTCTTGATCAGTACCTTTGTCAGAGATAGGTGAAATATGCTCTTCAAGATTGGCAGACTACTGGAATGTGTTGGCAGATGGTTTAAGATCTACTCTATTGCGACGAAGAGTGTTACCACAACATTCTCTAACCAGATATGACCGTGGACAAGCATGATTATCAATTATTTGACCTCAATCCCATGTTTTCTTGGAATCATTATGGATTATTACATTTTGCCTAGTTCTAAAGGTTTCAAGTCTTTAGCCTGCTTATTTTAATATTTGGTGTAAGTGTTTAATTTATGTTCTATTTTCTCTGATACATTTGGACAACCAAATCTTGCAGGAATTATTCTCATTTGATATATTACCGATTGAGTACTTTTATCATGAAGCGGTAATAGTTCCAGCCAATTGGAGTGTGCATCAATCATGAACAAGTAATATACGTAATCTAAAATAATCGATTAATCTAAAATAACCGATTATTCAAAAATAATCGATTAATCGAAAATAATCGATTGTTTGGCCCATCTTTAGTCAGAATCTCACTTAAGCTCATAATATAATAAAAAAATAACATTACCTGCGTAACGTTTGGTATCCCACACAGAAATGACACCACGCATATAATCAATACCAAAATTTCGTGGCACAGCAAATTCTTCTTGATCCATCCCGGAAAACCGTCTTGGATCGACGTCACCACGACTACCAGAGGGTGTTTAAATCCCTTCTTTCACCCCTATTGTATTTAATTCTGGTGGTTAACCTGCTACACGATCTCTCTTAGCAAGGGGTAGACTTCTAATGTTATGCCGACGATATTCTTATCACAATTAGATGTAAGTACATCGAGGTAATCTCCAACATAAACTAACAAACCCTAAAATACAATCAACAGAGAATGCGAGAAGAAGCAGATATCTGTAAGCTTCTAGAAACATGTTATCATCCAATTCACCAGAAGATGAAAATTAGAGAAGCTTAGACAACCTACCTTGTCTAAGGAAACCATTCTGGAACTCACAACTAAACAAAACCATTAACAAAACCTCAAGACCATCAGAAGAATGAATATGCGCCAACGCATTACAATTACAGTTACCAATTTTGGTACGACTGGATTGTCTGGTAAGATAACTGTCATCTATAGTAAAGTTGTCTGGAATCACTATCACCGATACAATGCTCATCATACCGACGGAAGCCATGAAAACTATGCTTTATCTAATTTCTCTTAACATTTTGCTGGAAAGAACGCTCAGAATGGTTTTCTACAGATTCCTAGCGGTAGGTAGACCATACAAGATGTCTTATTCTAGGTGCTGGTTGTAGATATTTAAAAAAATACACAGAACTATTCGTTTTAACTATTATTTCAACTGCTTTAACAAAGTATACATTAAGTATACATTAACTTAACCTCACTCCGGTTGTCTAGCCGTGGCAATAGTTGTGACTACGGCTAGATATATTACATCCCTCCCCTTACAGGTTTAATTTGTCAGGTCTCTTGCGGGTAGTTACAATGAGTTGCTAAGAAGGAGTACAGGGTTCAGGTGAGCTAGTTAGGTTTACATTATTTTGAGGATAATTTTCTTGATCAGTACCTTTGTCAGAGATGGGTGAAATATGTTGTTGGCAGATGGTTTAAGATCTACTATATTGCGACGAAGAGTGTTACCCACAACCATCTCTAACCAGATATGACCGTGGACAAGCATGATGATCAATTATTTGACTTTAATCCCATGTTTTCTTGGAATCATTGTGGATTATTAGATTTTGCCCTGGTTCTAAAGGTTTAAAGTCTTTAGCCTGCTTATTATAACATTTTTGGTGTTTAATTTAGGTTCTATTTTCTCTGATACATTTGGAGAACCAAATCTTGCAGGAATTTGTCTCATTTGATCTATTACCGATTGAGTACTTTTATCCTGAAGCGGTAATAGTTCCAGCCAATTGAATGTCTGCATCAATCCTGACCAAGTAATCTAGTAATCTAAAATAATCGATTAATATAAAATAACCAATTATTCAAAAATAATCGATTATTCAAAAATAGTCGATTAATCGAAAATAATCGATTAATTGGCCCATCTTTAGTCAACCTTCTTTAAGCTCATAAATATTAAAAAAAACACATTACCTGCGTAACGTTTGGTATCCCACACAGAAACGATACCACGCAGATAATCAATACCAAAATCTCGTGACACAGCAAATTCTTCTTTATCCATCCCGGAAAACCGTCTTGGATCGACGTCACTACGACTTCAACGATGGCGAACTAAAAATTATCTTAATGAAATTTTATACAATTGCTTTACCTCGTTATAAAATGTCTATTTACTTGGCTGTTTAAGGCCAGGCAGATCAGCATGAAGAAGAAGAAAACGGCCCAGAGTTGGGCGGCCGGCATCTTGGCGATCGCTTGGGGATACACCACGAATATCAGACCAGGACCTACAAATTACAACTGGATTAATATTAGACAAACCGTAAATATCAACGTGTTCAGGACTTGGACTATTTTTTATTATTTTTGTTAATGATAGTATGTTATAGGTAGTTGCAATCATATCCTGTAATATGTACCTTTGACAGGGCAAACCAATAAAATCTCTGAAAAATTTGTCTTCAACGATGTTTTGAAAACTGATTTATTACCATTTTGCTCAAATATCATTCTCACACTGATTATTTACAATACATTTTAGAAATTACAGGGTAAAAGAAATAAATTCGTAAAAATTAGATTATTAGCGCAGTTAGTAGAATAGTCGCGTACAAAAAGAGACATGGAGCTCTACATTTCTAATGTATTTTTGTTCCTTACCATCGTCGATAACATCTTCGATAGAAGTTCCTTGTTCGGTTGCTATATTGCCTATCGTGGCAAAGGCGAATATTCCTACCATTAAACTCGTTATACTATTAACCACCCATACTGCTATAGTATCCGGTAATATGCTATTATTGTACTTGTTATAACTTGCGAAGCAGATCATAGATCCGAAAGCACAACCCATTGAGTTGAAAGTTTGACTAGCTGCGTTTACCCAAACCTTTAAAAACAAAATCATTGGAATTATAGAAAAACTTATAAATATTTAGATAGCATTAAACCAACAGCTACAAAGCTGTTGGTAGGTATATGTTACAACTAAATCTTGAACTTAAATGGTTATATAAAAGCGTTTATACTTTCCTCCGCCATAGAGGCTAAATAAGAACAAAATAGGCCAATTCACAGACGCTTAAAATAAGATTTCAATGGATGAAATGGACTATAACAGCTTCTAACTGTAGAACAGATGTTCAAAAACTCTTACCTCTGCTTTCAAAAGTAGCTCGAATTTGGGCTTGAAGAAATATCTCATTCCCATGTCGGCTCCCTCCAAAGTTAGAGATTTGATTAATAAAACTACGATTATAACAAACGGGAATGTCGCTGTGAAATATCTAACTTTAGCTGATGATTTGATGCTTTTCCATATGGCGAAGTAGATGAGTATCCAAGCGCAAATCAAACAAGCCACCAGTTCCCATCTGAGATTGTTCATGTCTTCGATACCCTTGCCTATCTGAAGGACTTTCGTACTAAAAAAGACCTTTCGTTATTTAAAATACGGGGTGGTCCACGATATTCGACGTTTTCTATACATTCTACATATATTTCCAACATATAATAGAAAGAAATTGAAAGTAGAACGAAAGAGTTGATTTCCTTGCTGCTGGCCTATATTAGTGTCATGTTTAAAGTAGTAATTCTTGATTAACAGTTATCAAGGGCAGCGTACCTTTCAGGAAATGTGGACCTAATAATATTTGTTTGCTTTCTATAAGGTAAAACCAATCTATCTTATATACCTAAATTATCACAAACAAAAATGACTGCTACCTTCTTGAAACAGATCTAATTAAAATCGGTACATAGAACACACCGAATATCATGGACCACTCTATATACTGGTTTAAAAAAAATGTTACTCGTAAAATTCCTCGGCAGCAGAATGGGTGAAGTTAGGTTTAATGATATTCGATCTTTGCTTGTGCGAGTCCCAACAGTATTTGGTGTTCCATCGATTACTGCAGTTCTCCCAAGGCTGCTGGACCCTGAACGAGGTGAAAAAGTAGAAAATTCCATAGGCTATTATCACACTGTAATATGTGGAAAGAAGAAATGATACCACTACACTTCCTATTCCGGTACCTAAAAAATAGAAAATTAAAATTGAAAAAAAAACTGTTGTTTTCAAAAGTTTATATATGTTACCTTTCAATAAAGGACACAAATGACCCAAAGCTCCTATGGGACCTCTTCCTGTGAACTGGCCAACTGCTAACTCCATGTAAAGCATTGGTCCTCCAATAAATATCATTATGATGGCGTATGGTATGAGAAACACAGCTGAAAATAATACATTTATGATTTAAAAGAACCAAAAGGTTGTGGCTATATACAAGTATTTAACGTTAGTTATGAAGTATTAAATCTAAGTCTGCAGATTTAGATGGTATAAATTTAGATTATACTTCCTAGTTCGGTCCTAATAGAACACACATGTAGTTGCTTCATTTTATGCAAGCGTACACTATTTTTAAAAAAAACAAAACAATTTCCTGTCCCATCACATCACCCATACTTCATTACGCTTTTTAGTGTGTGAGTGTACACTTCAATATTAAATTTATAAAAGTGAATTTTGTTAAAATGAAAAAAGAAATGTAGGTAAAAAAATGATAGAACAGAAAATATTTATAATGGCAACTTATAGATGTTTACAGGCTGACTTTTCTATACCTGCTGTTCATACTTTTTTATTTCTGAAATAAAATGGTGTTGTTTTTACTCCTCTTAAACGAGGATCTAGTAAAACGCTAAGTGATTTATGTTAAAGGGGGATACCATCTGGAGAAAGGGAGTAATTACGATTAAAATAAATAGCTCATTTTCATTTGTCTAGCATAGAAGACACTATATATCCCTATTTAAATACATAAATGCATAAGGCTGTAAGGGAGTTCAAAGTCAATAAGATGGTATTCGTAGAAAGTCCCTTAAATAGATGTAAGGTAGCACAAGCTATTAAAAAATCAGGGCTAGAATTGAAAGCAACAAAAAACGAAAGACAACTTACACAGGCACTATAATTTAAACTTCACGCGCCCATTCCCTTGAATTTTAAAATGGATGATTATCGAATTCTCAAAAACATAATAACAAAGTCAGCCATATGGCTAGTTTGGACTTAAAAAACGCATGTTTTCTAATACCAGTTTGTAAACCTCATAGAAAATATTTGCGATTCATATTTCAAGAAAATTTGTTTTTACAAAGATATTAAAACCCTTAGATATTATTTTTTATATTATATTTCAGTAAATTATTTAGTTGGTTTTTCTCTTTGGTGAAAATCACTCAGAATGTTTGCAAGATTCCATTTTGTTGGTTAGAGGCTTTGAGTTTTTTGATCAATTATTGTAAATCATGTTTGATCCTTACAGAGGATGTACATGATTATTTTTTAACTCGAGCAAATTAACTACCTATGTTTTTGCCAAGAGAAAAATAGTTCAAAATCGAATAAGTCATTTTTAAAAGTTGAGGAATCTAAAATTATAAGTTTTGCAAAATTGATTGATAGCCTTATATCTGTATGTCTAGCAATTCGCTATGGTAATACACTAAAATTCTAGAAAAGGAAATATTTTTGGCATTGGGGTACACTAGCGGAAATTATAACTCAAAAATATTTATTTCAAAAGAAGAAAAAACTGATTTGCGTTGGTGGCTACAAGTTTTAGCACATGAGTCTCTATTGCTGAGGAAATATCAACTTGAGATACATACGAATGCGCCTAAATATGCTTGGGGAACAGTCTGCAAGGCGCCGATTCTAGGATGAACAACAGAAGAAGAGACATAATTTGATTACAGAATTATTGGCTGTTTTTAATGCACTAAAATGTTTTGTTAGGTCGAAAAAGAACAATTATGCTATAACACGATAACACGACTGTTATTGCATATGTCAATAAAATGGGAGGCATTACGCACATATCCCTCTCTAAATTATCTAGATAGATATGACAAAGGTGTGAAAATAGAAATATATTTATTTTTGCAACTTATATAAAATCTGAAAATAACATGGAGACGCACCGTGAATCAAGATCAAAATCGATCGAAACCGAATATAGTTTAAATAATAAAGTTTTTACAGAAATAATTTTAAAATTTGGCGAGTCTCATATAGATTAATTTGCATCTTAGATAAATACCAAATGTCGAACAGATTTCTCATGGAAAAGGATCCAGGATCTTTCGTGGTGGATGCCTTTACTTTAAATTGGCCTTCAATGATGGTTTATGCTTTTCCTCCCTTCCTCTTATTACTAGAGTACTTATTAAGATTATTTTAGAAAAAGGGAGAGGGTTGGTCATAGTACCCTACTGGAAATCGCAACCATGGTTTTCCATATTCATGAAATTACTTGTTGGTGACTATCTCTGTAGGCCAAAATAAATTAAAAAAAAAATTGTTGCGTCCTGGTTATACCCTGGTTACAGAACTATTATCAGGAGATTGAAAATGGTAGAAAATTAATATTTTAGATTTAATAAGTCCTGTAAACAATATCATTGAATTTAAATGAACAATTTGTTAAAGTTACTCTATTTTTAATACTATTAGATCGTGTTGAATATTTTGTCAAAGAATACAGAGGATCACTTGATAAATCGTTTTTTGAAGGGTCTTCATAAACTTCGTCCTACATTTTCTAGATATTGTCATACGTGGGACCCGTAATTCTTTTTATCTTACTTATTATCTTTAAACTTATACTACTTGCCCTTTGCACAGCACAAAGGATAAAAACTATTTCAAAAATAGAGATAGGGAATATTCGTAATTTTGGGGGAGAAAATTGGGATATTAATGCCGAAACTATTGAAATCATCCGGTCCAGGTCATGATTAGCCAAAGTTAATAATACTTTTCTCAAAAAAACAGAAACCTGAAATATGTGTCGCATCAATATTATTGTTTTATACTGAGAAAACTAAATGTGATGTGATGGGACAGGAAATTGTTTTTTTTTTTCTTTAAAAATAGTGTACGCTTGCATAAAATGAAGCAACTACATGTGTGTTCTATACGGACCGGGCCAGACGTATAATTACGATTGAACTTCCTTGAAGGCAAGTCGTTTTATCTTACATTTTGATAAAACTTTGTTACTCGCTTATTCTGCCTCAATTGTTATTTGACAGAAGGTTATTTATTCCTATGAATTGGAAAGTTCCTTTGCATAAAGTAGCAAATCCTAAAGAAATCAATCATTTAAGAGCTATTGCACTGCTCACAAATGCAATTGAAATGTGTAAAATTTAATTATTTGGTTTTAATTCTGACAGCACAATAATTAATATATTTTATTGATTTTTTTTACCAAAAGATGAAGGATATCATCCTACAGAAGTTTTTAATAAAAAGTCAGGAAAGAAATCTAAAGTTCAGTAAAATTTTTAAAAATAAACCAACTCTACCTCTCAAATTAGTATATTAAAAATCATTATTTTTCAAATGAGATGATCTAAATGTAGTTTCATCTTTTATCGACCTAATAAAAATTAAAATTTTAAAATTGGAGTTGAAATAAAGATGTAATGATTAAAATGCAAAAGAGTCGTATTCACAGAAATATCTACAAAACTGAATCTATCGGAAATCAAGGGTGTAACTCAAATAATATTCTTAAAAATGCCAAGAAATAAGTACTGTTAGCGCTATAAGAATTATGTGGGCGAACTGTTATGACTTTAAATTCGTTAAAAATAATTTATGCCTACAGATACATTTATCCCTAGGTACAGCACTCTCTACTACTCCTACTCTACATATCTTAAAAAAAAATGACATTTAGCTCAAATGTTCATAACAAAAATAATAGAAATACTAGTCTTCTTGTTACACCTAAACATAGCACAACTCTCTACAATCTACAACAGATCTTTCTCATACACCGCAGTCAGTATATATACCTAAATTCTGAATAATTTAAAAATAAATTTAAAAAAAAAACTTTAAAAATTTCCAAAAAAATTATATTCTGTTATTCAGTGTTTGTGTATTGTTCATTTTCTTATTGCATGTTTCTATGTAAAATTTGTGTATTAAGGCCGCAGTTTCATTGTATTTTTCCTATAAGAAGCAAGGGTTCACCATTTCCGATTGCATTTAAATCCCGCTAAATGTATTAAAACGAATCTTCTACCAGCTTAAAGTATAAGGCTTGGAGAATAAAATCTCCTATTTTTAATTTGTCCTGCTTATATACTCAATTTAAAAAAAAAATCGTAAAAAGTGATTTTAAAACCAGAGCTAAAAAGTAGGAGATTTCATTCTACATATTTTTCCAAGTATACCGCCAAAATATTTCTAAATTTTATTGGTTATTTTTCAAATCTAAGTGGAAATACTTGATAAATGTATTTGTCAAATTAGAGATTTTCTATGAATACCTGTAATTGTTTAGTTTATCTATTTTTAAGATGTCAATGTAGCCACTCTGTTTTAGAGATGGTTTTAATAGGTGAATGATTGTTTAGAGGTACCAATGTTTGAAACAGTGATACAGCTGTATGCCGTCTTTTATTTTCATATATATTTGTCTCGCTTCGTTCCAGATACAAAATTATCAATTTATTTTCCTTGTGTATGAACAAATATTGACCACGTTGCCATATGTACAATAATTATCGATTTATACGATAATTTCACAATTCTTTCTCGGACGAATTTAATTTTAAAGTGGGTGAAATGCAGGAAAGTAAAGGAACTTTATTGCATTTTGAATCCGAATGACCTGGTATCACTGTATGGTACGCACGTAATATTTGCGGGACTTGCTTTCTTCTTCTGAATGTTATTTTATCTCTATAAGGAACTTTATTTCTGAGTTAACACGTTGACTGCTGTGTGTATATACCAATGTGTATGTTCTATTAGTGCGTAATTGTTCAATATTTTAATTTGTGTTAAAGACACGCAAACATGTTGCAGAGAAAAGTTATATGGATTTGGAAAATACATATTTTAAAAATATTTTTGAATATACAGGGTGTTACATTTTTGCCTGGCATAGTTTTGAAATAGAACAACATGTATTTTATTTCAATTTTAGAATGGTTTGGTAATACTGTATTCAAGCCTAGAATGTTTTAAAAAAATATTACAGGTTTGCCAAGTAAATAAATTTTTATATTATCATAATTTGAGTAGGATTACATTGATTTCAAAATTGTTTAATATATAGACTTATGACACATTAAGATAACGAATAGTGGTGATAGTGCTACATTCTTTTATACCGAGAGTTTTGAAACATGTCTTATATATGGCTACTTTTAAGTTCAATTTACTTAATTTTTTCAAGGCCACACCCGGCATAATATTTTAGCATACAATTCCTTATAAATTTGCCTATCCAACAATACCAACATGTTAGAGAATAACACATATACAGAATCAGTGCGTAATTGATCGATAGCTGTTTTATTATTGAAAATAAGAAAAAAAATAATATAAGAGTTGTATGACCATATTAAAAAATAATTCTTAAATATACAGGGTGGTCTATAAAGGAGGTGTTGACCGAACCTATACATTTTTAAAGCAAAACACCCTGCAGGTAGTTATACATATTTGATTGTTTTCACGTCGTCAAATAATTTAAATTAATTTGCTATGTTATACAGTGTGTCGCATTTAATATAAAGACACCCCTATATTTTGTCTATCTAAATAAATACAGATTTGAGATTTTGCACAGTCATACAGGGTGATGGTTCACATTTTTCAAGACACAACTGAAATTTAAGTTTTAAACGCGGCCTACTGCGAATCCACAAACAGGGTAAATTTTCGATATTTTTCTTCGCGTTAGAAATATCAAAAAAAGGTATTTGAAAAATTTATTCTGAATATTATTTTAACCCTACATACCAAATTTCATGACAAAATTCGCATTTTTAGTTTTTTTATTAGTTTGGTCAATACACAAAAAATTATTAAAAGTTGATTTTTTTTTTATTCGATAAACTAGTGTGCCATGATTGACATTAATGATTTTACAAGTATCAAATTATTCCTATCCATGGCACACTAGCTTATCGAATAAAAAAAATCAATATTTAATAATTTTGTGTTTTGACAAATATAATAAAAAAACTAAAAATGCGAATTATGTCATGAAATTTGGTATGTGGGGTTAGAATAATATTCTGAACAACTTTTTTAAATAACTTTTTCTGGTATCTCAAATCTGTATTTATTTAGATAGACAAAATATAGGGGTGTCTTCATCTTAAATGCGACACACTGTATATAGGGTGTGTCAAAACGCGAGGTTACGATTTTTTAAATTTTTTTAATAGAATTCACTGTATTAATTAATTGGTGGTATAACATACAGGGTATCACATTTAAAAAATTGAGAAAATCGTAACCTCGCATTTTGACACATTCTATATACAACATAGCAAATGAATGAAATTGAAATTATTGTTCGACGATGTAATAACAATCAAATATGTATTAATTACCTGCAGGGTGTTTTGCTTTAAAAATGTATAGGTTTGGTCAGACAATCGTTTATGGATCACCCTGTATATTTATGAATAATTGTTTAATAGGGTCACACAACTTTTATATTATTTTTTTCGTATTTCCTATTATAAAACTTCTATCGATCAATTACGCACTCATGGGACACCATATATATGTGTTATTGACTAACATATTGGTATTGTTGGATATGTAAATTTATAAGGAATTGTAGGTTTAAATAATATACAGGGTGTGGCTTTTGACAAAATTAAATAAATTTAACTTGGAATTAGCCATATTTAAGACTTGTTTTTCAAAACACTCTATATAAAATAATCCAGTTCTATTACCACTATTCGTTACCTTATTACTATATTTAAAAAAAAAATTGAAATCATTGTAAACCTACCTAAATTATGATAATTTAATTTGGGGTCTGCATCATTCCCTAATTTCATAAAAAAATTATTATTGGCAACCCTGCAATATTTGTTAATAAAATTTTAGGGTTAAATGCAGTATTACCAAAGCATACTAAAACTGAAGTAAAATACAGGGTTTTCCATTTAAAAAATATATCTTTTCATTTGTCAGACAAAAACCCTGTACGTCTAAAAATATCTTTAAAATACCTATTTTTGAAATTCATATAACTTTTATTTAGAAATTGTTTACGTGTCTATAATACAAATTGAAATATTGAACAATTACGCACTAATGGGACAACCTGAATATATTATTCACAATATATGCACGCGGCATATGTTTGTAATAATTTAATCCCGCGCCGCGTGTATATATTTTATTCACTCTTATATTAGATATTGTAGTTTACCTAAGTATTTACTTAAACTAGTTTACTCTTGAAACGTAAAAACAGACTTAACTTTTTAGAAAAACTACTTCGGCACAGCAGACCCGATCACAACATTTGCTTCGGCAGTCAACGTGTTTTAAATGCTTTTTTATTCATTTGTTGTTTAATTTGTATTTAGTTATTAATATTTTAAAAATGCTTATTTTTCTTATTGATTAATGCACGCGTAATTTTTATTAATAATTGAAAATAGTACTGTAATTTTGAATTGATAAAAAAGTGAAAATAAAAACTTAATTTAAAAACATAAATTACGACTCTACAAATGAAGTAAAATTTTATGAATAATTTCTTTTTCTTACAAAAACATTATCTCAGAAATACGTCATAAGTTGCATACACACAGTATGTCTATGTAAGTTGACAGCATATAGAAAACTCTTTTTATTATTCATTTTACGAAAAAAAGTTATTCTTCATAAAAATGTATGCATGGTCTAAGAGAAAATGCAACCACCCGATATCAAATTTTATCAGTGGATTTTACAAGGTTTGTCAAAAAAATACCGACAAGCCCTGTATACGACTGATGAAATTTGATATCAGATGATTGAATTTTAGGTTTTAGACCATGCATAACTTTTTTTGAAAAGTAACTTTTTTCTAAAATTAATAGACCAAAATAAGATTTTTTCTTAAAATTTTTAAAAAAGTTTTCCGTATACCGCCAAGTGCCAACTTACGTACATATAAATGAGATTAAATTTTTTGAAAATAATTTTTACTGATGCAGATCTAAATAAAGTATTGTGGTTAATAAGGTAATAAAAACACTTTTTGTTACATTTTTCTTTTTTTTTTATTTGGTTCTTTGGCTGCAAGGTCTTTCGGTATATACAGGGTATTCCATTAAGAATGGGAGCAACTGAAGATTAACTGATTAGAAATAAGCAGATTAAACGAAACATCCGTAGGTAAAACATTACTCGTTTCCGAAAAACAGGGTTTTAAAGTTGAAAATCAAAAATTATGAATAGCTCCATTTTTTTATTACTCACTTTAATATTACTAAATTCGGCAAACGTTATTGGTGTAATAAAATACACCTATTAGCAAAAAAATAATTAAATAAGCTTTGTCAGACGTACGTCATGCGCAAGTAACCCTTTTTCCCTTCTAAATTTTAGTCCACTGTCCAAAAACTTTTGATGTTTTTCAAATAAAGTTGAGTTAGTTTTTGAGATATTCACACATATTTGGAAATTCTGAAAGTACAGTATTTATTTAAAAAACATCAAAAAATTTAAAATTTTATGTTCAAATAACTTTTTTGATAGTGACGTAAAATTTAGGAGGAATACGGTATTACGTACCAATTCTGTACGCCACTGGAAAAGTTAATTAAGGTAACTAATTTTTTTGCTGATAGGTGGATATTATGATACCAAAAACTTTGCCAAATTTAGTAAAATTGTTGTGAGTAATAAAAAAAATATAGCCATATACATTTTTTGGATTTTAACACCGTAATTCGGAAACGAGAAACATTTTATCTGAGCATATTTGATAAGTTGACTTATTTTTAATCAGAGAATCGTCAGTTGTTTTATGTCCTATTCTTAAAGAAATACCATGTATATTATAATAGGTCCATACGAAATGATACGAAGACCTTTGTCCTTTGTTGACTGGACACAAGAATGAACTACTAAGTAAATATACCGATGTCCCGAATCTAATCCAAAACTTTTATTTAGGTACCTGCTACATCTATAATATTTGTCAGGGTCAAGAACTCGTTTACTTATCATCGCGTAGTGGCTAGGGGTGATGAATTTGTTATTTTATAACAGTTACCGTTTAGAATTAATAAAATTATTACGCCATCTGTTGAACAAAAGAACTATTAAATATGGAATATTTCGCTATCTGTTGAACAAAAGGATTCTTAATTTATGACACATAAATGACATCTATCAAAATTAGTTCATCTTACAAATATTGGGGGTGGTACTGTGGCCTTAATTAATAAAATCTAAATAGTAATGTATCTTTTTATTACATGAACTGTTTGTATTATTAATATAAAGACGTTTTTATTAATACTATTGTTATTATTATTATTACTATTATTTTTAATATTGTTAATCTTGCATTAGTAATAATTTATTAGTAATATTAGTTATTTTTAGTAAAAATATTTTCTAAAAACTTATTTACTAAACAATTTTTATATATTCATCCTTATATTAATTATTGTACATACCTCCTCCACTTTTGTAACATAAATAAGGAAACCTCCATATCGAACCGAGCCCAACGCTATATCCAACGCAAGCCAGTACAAATTGCAGTTTGTTCGACCATTGTTGTCTTCTAGGTTTCATATAATCACTGTTTTCCTCATCACCGCTGTCTTCGTCGCTATCATTTTCTAACGCATATGTGGTTTCCGGTGGTCTGCAAAAAAGGGATTTTTTTAATAAATGAATCTTGTTTACACTATAGATATATTAGTAGCAATAATAATTTATCAATTAATCATAATATCCTGAACTTTTAGAGGAAAAACAATTTGATTTTCCATTATTTCTATTATTAAACTTATTATGTTTTTTGTATATAAATCACCAAATTCAAATGTTTCAGTTTTTTTAACAGTTTATTGAAAAACTTGTCAAAACACAACTAGTTAGATATCTAGGCCAAAATAATATAAAAACGTATTGGATGCTGTTAATTCTTGTTTGGAATTAGCCTATACAAGTATAAATTTCAATGAAGCTGTAGCTGCAGTATTTTGTGACCTGACTAAAACTTTCGACTGTGTCAATCACAGAGCACTGCTGCGAAAATTTGAAGTTTACGGTATAAGAGATGTGGCTTTGAGCTGGATGAAATCCTACCTTTTAGGTCACAAACAGTTAATCCGAACTGTATCAGACATAAAATGGGGTATCCCTCAAGGTTCTGTTCTGAGGTTCAACCTGTTTTTAATTTATATAAATGATTTAGGTAAATTAAATATCTCAATATGTTTCAGTCTATTTGCTGATGATACTACTACCTTGTGACATAATAAAGACGTCAATATTAGTAATGATCTCAAATCTTTTAAAACATGGTGCACTGCAAATTTTCTATCAATAAATTAAAAAAAATACTAACCTTTAAATATAAGGTTCCTGATATTTTAATAGATATAAATAATATAGAAGCCACACTCTTCAAAATTGTTAGGTTTGAATATCGACACGGATTTGTATTCAAATATCATGTTGATTCGCTTTTAAAAAACTCAAATCGGGTTGTTATGTCATTAGAACTATCTCTCTCTTTACGTTATGCTGTTCATTTTTTGGGAGTTTGTTCTGCTGAGTTATTTGGTAGAGTCTTTATAATGCAGAAACGGGCAATAAGGTTCTTATGTGGAGCACACAGATTAGTTTCATGTAGACCGCTGTTCTTAAAACATGAAATATTTTTGTTTGTGTGTCATCGGCTTCAACTGCTAAGGTTATCTCGCCTCGTGTTCTGTGTAGGCTTTATCACTGTTTCCCAGCGCCACTTTAGGAACAGCACTATTAATTAGAACCTAACAGTGAATGGTCGAGTGGGTAATCCTACCAAGGCATCAGAATTAATTTTAAATAATTAAATTAAATAAAAAAATCCCGGCCAACGGTGGGATTCGAACCTGGGACCCTTGGACCTGCAGGCAGAGACTCTACCACTGAGCCACCCACCCCATAACATGAAATATTAACAATAACTTAATTATTTATCTTAGACACTTCTTGTTGCATGACCCATATTTTGTTTTGTTTTATTTTAAATATATGTATTAATGTTAATTTATAATAGTGTGTGTTTAGTGTTTATATTTTAAAGAATATTTATTTATTTATGCATTTTAACTTGGTTAATAAACATATATTCTCTCTCTAATATATTATTTATTTTAAAAAATACACACTGTTTAAAATAAACAAACATGCATAATCGCAGTTGTTTTACAACAAATTTGCTAACAACTTGTATGTGATATTATGACAGTTTGGTAAATTGATTAAGTAATTTTAAGCAAGGAGTGATTGTTGGGTAAGTTAATATTAAGGGGTGGTAAGTTCTAATTATATTGGTTAAGTTGTCGTTATTGGGTAAATACACATCATACAGTAAGTAGCGTCTCACAGTAAATTAGGGATTAGCGTCGTACTATGGGTAAGTAGTTATTATCAGGTAAGTGCTTACGTAGTTTCACAATGGAATAAATTTGTTATGTTATTACAGATAAGTAAAATAAAAAAGATCTATGGGAAATATTAACATTTACATTTTATAAGAGATATAACAATAAATATATACCAAATAATATCAGTAAAATCGTTAGTAATCCTTAAGAGGCCCCTAAATATATACAACCTCACTATACATAAAGTATTATAAATTGTATTCAATTTTAAATCCTCAATTAAATTGAACTTTACGAACTGTATAGGTTAGGTCGAAATAAAGATTAGAAAATATAACTCCATATTTTATTGACTTGTAAACTTATACATGTGTATTAGTTCAAATTCTAAAAAGATGTTGAACACACTAAGATTAGATCATTATTCTTATTTAATTTTGCGAACTTAAAATAATTAAATTTGAAATATTCACAATTATGTACAGAGAACATAAAAAACTAGCATCTTATTATGTAGGATTTTATGTACTATGGGATTGCCTATTTTCAGGGGCACTACACGTCACATAGAGTCTATTTTGGTCTCGTTTAAAAATATAATGCAGTACATCCATTAAATTTGTGTATTACATTTTATATTAAATTTTGTATTAAATTGTGTAATAAATTTTGTAATAAATTTTGTAATAAATTTTGTAATAAATTTTGTAATAAATTTTGTAATAAATTTTGTAATAAATTTTGTAATAAATTTTGTATTAAATTTTGTATTAAATTTTGTATTAAATTTTGTATTAAATTTTGTATTAAATTTTGTATTAAATTTTGTATTAAATTTTGTATTAAATTTTGTATTAAATTTTGTATTAAATTTTGTATTAAATTTTGTATTAAATTTTGTATTAAATTTTGTATTAAATTTTGTATTAAATTTTGTATTAAATTTTGTATTAAATTGTGTATTAAATTTTGTATTAAATTTTGTATTAAATTTTGTATTAAATTTTGTATTAAATTTTGTATTAAATTTTGTATTAAATTTTGTATTAAATTTTGTATTAAATTTTGTATTAAATTTTGTATTAAATTTTGTATTAAATTTTGTATTAAATTTTGTAATAAATTTTGTAGTAAATTTTGTATTAAATTTTGTATTAAATTTTGTATTAAATTTTGTATTAAATTTTGTATTAAATTTTGTATTAAATTTTGTATTAAATTTTGTATTAAATTTTGTATTAAATTTTGTATTAAATTTTGTATTAAATTTTGTATTAAATTTTGTATTAAATTTTGTATTAAATTTTGTATTAAATTTTGTATTAAATTTTGTATTAAATTTTGTATTAAATTTTGTATTAAATTTTGTATTAAATTTTGTATTAAATTTTGTATTAAATTTTGTATTAAATTTTGTATTAAATTTTGTATTAAATTTTGTATTAAATTTTGTATTAAATTTTGTATTAAATTTTGTATTAAATTTTGTATTAAATTTTGTATTAAATTTTGTATTAAATTTTGTATTAAATTTTGTATTAAATTTTGTATTAAATTTTGAATTAAATTTTGTATTAAATTTTGTATTAAATTTTGTATTAAATTTTGTATTAAATTTTGTATTAAATTTTGTATTAAATTTTGTATTAAATTTTGTATTAAATTTTGTATTAAATTTTGTATTAAATTTTGTATTAAATTTTGTATTAAATTTTGTATTAAATTTTGTATTAAATTTTGTATTAAATTTTGTATTAAATTTTGTATTAAATTTTGTATTAAATTTTGTATTAAATTTTGTATTAAATTTTGTAATAAATTTTGTATTAAATTTTGTATTAAATTTTGTATTAAATTTTGTATTAAATTTTGTATTAAATTTTGTATTAAATTTTGTATTAAATTTTGTATTAAATTTTGTATTAAATTTTTTATTATATTCTGTATACATTTTGTATTAAATTTTGCATTTAACTAATTTGTATTAAATTTTATACTAAATTTTTGTGATAAATGTTGTAATGAATGATGTAATAAATGGTGTAATAAATGTAATAAACGTTGTAATAAATATAATAAATGATGTAATAATTGTTGTAATAAAAAATGTAATAAATTTTGTACAAAATTTTAGTTTGTAGACTTCTTTTTTATATTTATCAACTTTTCCAATATACAGGGTGTGATTCAACATTTTTAATAGAAATATTCTTTGTTAAAAAGACATTAGCTTTGTGTATCCTTAAATACTAAATGATATCATAATATGTTATCTTTGGTCAGCTTTTGTGGTCTACAGCAATACAGGGTGTTTTTTAAACATGCGGCAAAAATTTAAGGGATTGTTCATTGGACTATTCCAAGAATATTTTGTGATTTAATGATTTTTGAAAATCCGTTTTGTTAAGGAGACACAGGGCGAACAAAATTTTAGACAATAACATCGTTTTATTACAAAAAAAATACATGTAAATGTTACTTAATCTACAAGAACTGTTGAAAATGACTCCCTCCAGCAAGAATTCAAATAAAATCCAGATTTAATCTGTATTTCTTTAAGATGTCTGAACTTTTGCCTGTTTTAAGTGGAAAAATAGCCGTTTTTAGTAATTGGAATGTTGTTAAAAATAATAAAAATAACGAATTTTTAAAAAAGTTGTATGTTCTTAGTTAACCCATTGTTGTACCTATTTTTATTTAAAATATTAATAATTTTAAAAATAATAAAAATGGTCTTTTCGAAAATGTTGCCGCCCTGTATCTCCTAAACGAAACGGAATTTTAAAAATCATCAAAGAACAAAATATTCTTAGAGTAGTCCAAGAAACAACCCCTTGAATTTTTGCGGCATATTTAAAAAACACCCTGTATAAGAGTATAATAAATCACTGTAGTTATTTTGAAATTAACATAATAAATAGTTTTGTTATCAATTCTGTTTTACACTAATACTTACAATTTGGTAGTAGGTGATAATTGTTAATACTTTTTATCAATACATACACGTTAATTAAATAACTATTAGGAAAAAGCTGGCCTTCTACTATTTATAATCCATTCAGAAAAAATTATTGAAATTTTTGTTTTAAATCAATAAAAACACAATAGGTACAAAAATATCACCTGCATTTTCATTGAATATGAAAAAAAAAGCGCTTGCCGCGAAATGTATTTTTTAGCAGTTGCCCCAAATTAATGTTTTGCAGAGTTTGGTATAACCTATTTTTACGATGCGATGAAAAATTGGAAATTAGTTGAACCAGCT